AAGACCGGTGACTATTCTCCGGAGAGACCAGCAGTTTATCTAGAGACTAATTGTCTGATCGTTGGACTACTCACCACAGTTAGATATTATCTAATTACTGTTCTGTTCCAGCCTGGTTTAACTAGCTCGTCATTGAAGGACGAACTTTACTGCAGGTCGCATTTCTCATAATGCCGTCTTTATCTGCTCCAGGAAGATTTCCTTTAGCTAATTTGACCTCTGTACTTCTTAGGGTCTTCCGGGCACCAGAGGAGAAAAGGGTGAAAAGGTGAGAATTTGTGCTAATATCCTATCTGCAGGTTTCCGATATCCCTCGTGAATATCCAATGTTCGAGAAATGACTTGGTACTGATCATCGTGGCGTTCATTCTCTGAGCCCGTCGTTGGCTGTTTTGCAGATCGGAAATCCTTTATCTTATGGTCATTGTCATCTTCTTCGTTTAGGGAGAGCCTCAGTCAGTGGCTACTATTTACCATTTGGTCAATCAGGTGTGCGAGCGTCTTATTCAAGGTGAGTGACCTCCCAAAAATACTTTTGGGGGCAAAAAATTAAAAGTGGGCCATTCATAAACAATATTCCACTGTCTTTCAAGGTGAATGCACATCATTTATAAATTTATTTATTGCCATAGTACTTCTTTCTGTATATATTCCTGGTCAGTTGATGAATTTGGGTTTGTAAGATGTCTTTGCAGCCAATAGGAAGGTGAGCCTATAGCTTTTGGAGTGAAGGCTGTCTTCTCATTGAAGACCTCTGAAAGGAGGGCTGTATGTCTCGGTGAAGAATGGACATTTTAAAATCCTATTGTTTTGCTTAATGGTTAGCATCATGTTAAGGGTTTCATTTTAATGTTAAGTACCCATTATGGGCAAATTACTAAAGTACTATAAACTGGAAAATGTTTATTGTAAGGAATAAAAACACCTGCATTTATTAAAAATAGTTTTTATTGTATGAGAGAAAATGGTGCCAAACCAAGAACCTTAAAGGGACACTATAGTCACCAAAACAACGTTTGCTTAATAAAGCAGTTTTGGTGTATATATCATGTGCTGTTTACACTGCACTAGTCATACCTCCCCGCATTTAACTTGCACAGCTTTCTTTAACACTTCCTGGAAAGAGAGATCTAATGTTTACACTTCCTTCGTAGCACAGTTTGTTTAATCTCGAATTTCATATCTTCTGCCCTGTTAATAGCCTTCTATTGCAGGAGCATCTTGTGTGATTACAGTTCAATTTTCAGAGCTGGAGATACAAACCTCTAAAGCAAGTTAACATCTGATTGAACATTAAACTATTTTTAGCATGCAGGCTATGTCAGTCACAGCCAGGTTAGGTGTGACTAGGGCTGCATAAATAGAAACAAGTGATTTAACTCCTAAATGGCAGAGAATTGAGCATTGAGACTGAAGGGGCATGATCGATACACCAAAACTGCTTCATTAAGCTAAAGTTGTTTTGGAGCCTATAGTTTCCATTTAATTATCAGCCATTAGCTTGCAGAGAATTATGGTAGGTATAGTCCAAACATATTTTGGAGGGCACCATTAATCAGTGCCTCATTACACAGTTGAGAAGGTATTTTCTGTTAAGTAACTCATTCTTTCCCAGCCCACATGGTCAAGCTGGATACGGTTCTTGGAGAACGGGAGATGCCACCAGTCCCTCAGTGGGATGAAAACAATTTTAGAGGAGATCCAGGGGATCCAGGAGCACAGGGACCTCCAGGAGAAAGGGGGGGAGCTGGTACAAATGGGGTGCCAGGAGTACCAGGTTCCAATGGCTATCATGGGGCTCGAGGTATGGATTCTGCAATGCATTATGGATGAAGGCCATGACTAGGACATGCTCTCTCTATACAATGCATTCTCTCTTCGTTTCACACACTAGGGATGAAAGGGCATAAAGGAGAGAAGGGAGGTATTGGCCACAGTGAAGAAGGTCATTTGGGACCACCTGGAGAGTCAGGTAATCTTCTAACCTGATGAAATTCAAAGCATATATGAAGATGGCAGGTAAAACCTCGTTGTAATGGTCTTTAAAGACACTTGTTGGAGCATACTTCCAATTGTCTTCCCCTAAAAATAACTTAACGTGATGTTCCTAATCTCAAAGTCTTTCCTTTCCCCTCTCTCTTGACGTAACTCAAAGCTTAATTTTCTCTTTCTCATCAGTTTAGTGGAACTAATTGTCATTCTGTATCTTTGTCAGGAGTCCCAGGTAGGGAAATATTTGGAGACTCTGGCCCTACTGGTGACCCTGGAGTCCCTGGTGTTTCTGGACCTTCCGGGATGCCTGGTAAAAGTGGACCTTCTGGTCCCCCTGGGAGTTGTGAGCCCTCGCCCTGCTATGTGGCAGACACTGGGGGTATGTACATCACAGGACGTTTTATTTATCCCTTACTGCGGTATTAACCATTATGGACAATGGGTGGACTCTTTATTTAATAGCAACTTCTACATTTTCACAGACCATTTTTGTTGTATATAAATTGTCTACTACTCTAGCTCTCGTTGTCCCTGAGACTTTTTCTGGCCAGATCTAATTGTCCTCAAAATCTGCTTGTTAATTGCAAGAATTCCTTTGATACACTGGCAGAGTTATTCACTAAACTCCAAATTTTGGTTGATTAAATCCAAAACGGAGGCAACAATAGCCAAGTTGTGATTATAGCAGAATCAAAGCATTTTTTATAAGATCGGTTGTTTTTGAGTCTGATTTCCCATTCAGGTTTAATTTGGAGTTTAGTGAATGATGGTCCACAATTTGACCAGACAGTAAACCTTTAGCCAGTGAAAGTGGTAAAGCAAGACGTATCTCTTTTTAGCAAAGAAATTGAATTCCATACAGGAAACACTCGATATAATTATATTTCATATAAAACTGGTTTCACAATAATTTATATAAGTTGGGTGAGATGACTAAATCCTGAATCCCATTCTGGAAGTTTTTTTGCATTTATAAATTTAAATCACTGGATAACCAAGAACATTGTATTTCTCATTAAATTCCAGGAGTCGACTATCTAATACCCTGAGTGACTCTGTATCTCCAATACACGGCTGGGGCCCAATGTCTTTTCACAACTTCCTGTGAACATGTCCAGAGGGCTATTTATCATTGTTGCCTGGTCTGAAGGATGGAAGATTTTCTCCACATTTGTCCACAGGGCCGGGATCCACATATACCATGTCACGTATCATGTAAACTAGATTTACAGGGCCGGGGGTCCACGTATACCATGTCACGTATCATGTAAACTAGATTTACAGGGCCAGGCGTCCGCTTATACCATGTCACGTATCATGTAAACTAGATTTACAGGGCCGGGCGTCCACGTATACCATGTCACGTATCATGTAAACTAGATATACTGGGTTGGGGACCGGGTGATTATTTGATGCTATTTTTAGGATGATTATCTAATTTATAATAAATGTATCCAGCTACCTGATGCAATATGCTGTATTTAGAATTTATGAGCTGCGGTTGCAGATTATTTGCACTGTCAATTATACGCTGCAAAAATAAACCATCTTTTTCTTTTTTTTTAGTACGTGAGTATAATTGGTTCAAGTCCGTTTTCCTCACTTTTCTTTGTAATTCACACTGAACCCCCCTGTGAGCTTTTCTAGAATCGGAACAAACACTCTCAAGGTGTTAGGGGATGAGCATTTTACGACACGGCTGTTGCAATATTAGATTATCCTAAAATACACGTTTTATCTTACTGGAGTGATTGCTGACACCGTCCCTGGTTTCCAGACGTCATTCACAAGTACGCGTGTAAATTATTCATACCCTCGTTCACAAAAATATATGTGTAAAAACAATAATTAATATGAATGATCTGTTTTTTATGATGTTTTAATTCAGTTTCCCAGAGCTTGAGGACACGTCCCGAGTAGAAGAGCAGAAACAAGTCTCCTTTTAAATACTAATATATGAAACATACGTTTGATTTGCTAAACACCAGTTTGTAGTACATTCTAAATTCTGGGCTATAATTTCTAGCCGAGCTTGAGAATTTCTCCAAATCAGCTATTTAGTAAGTAAACCTAACAGTCATTTCTCCTGCACTGCAAATAGTGGAGAGTTGTGATTCGTTAAGGGATCCTTCCTGCAGGACGCCACATACCAGCACTTTTCATGTACTGCCCATCAGTTTGTAACATATTCTGAATGTCTGCTTTGTCCATTCTTTGACTATCTCCAAACGCATCATTTTTTTATTCTTATTGAGTTTATAGAACCTTCAAAATTAGGGTGACCATATCACACTTCGCCAGCCACCCGTACACCCCTAAACTCTGTCGTGTCCTTATTAGTAAGTGTCTCTAGCGAGTGCTGTGGTCATGTAAAGGCACTTTATCCAAGCAAGTTTCAGCTAAATCTGACAATAAGCTGTTTGGACTACAATTTCCACTATTCACAACCTGTTTGTTGAGGCTAATGGGAGTTGCAGTCCGTGCACAGCTGTAGAGAGTCCAGTTTCTCCGTACCTGAGCTCTGTGTTGGTAAATGTCTTTATGTACTCCAGGCTGGAGAATAACTGAGGCAGGTAATGACAGATAGACCCAGTTCATATATATATATATATTTATTTACCCACCAGGGGCCCCTCAAGTTCAGACATGTCTAAAGAGAGTGCATGATCAAGCAGAGTGTTTTACTACACTTTAGAAAGCAGGAGGCTCTGCAATGCTCTGCTGCCTGCGGGAACCCCCAGAGCTCTGCAAACCCATTCATGCGAGTCAGACAGGCTGAAATATTTATACAATGTCGGAACAGTCCCACACACCCTTCATAGACCGTGGAGTCCATTGTAGCAGTGTTCACTCTAGCTATAGCAGACTTTACACTGCTTGTTTGGGTGGGTGTCCATTCTGTCCCCCTCTCTGTGTGTCACCCATTTACCATGCATTCGTTACGCCAAGACGGTACCCCCACACTTTATGGCACGTTGGCTCTGCTTTTTGGCACTGTGAGCTCCCGCTTAGATCATCCCGGCCAGCCAGGGCGGAAGGAAAAGGCCAACTGTGCCCAGGAGGCAGACTATTATAAACATCCAGAGGAAGATTCGATCAATTACCATGGCAACGTACTTCCAGTCCTGCTTCACCTGTAGAGGGAAATTAGGGAGATATCAGTCATGTACCCCACTCCTAACGCAGAGATATCAGTCATGTACCCCACTCCTAACGCAGATATATCAGTCATGTACCCTACTCTAAACGCAGAGATATCAGTCGTGTCCCCCAATCCTAATAGAGAGATATCAGGTACCCCAATCCTAATAGAGAGATATCATGTGCCCCAACGCTAGTACACAGATATAGTGTATTCCAACCCTAATGCAGAGATATCAGTCACATACCCCGATTCTAATACAGAGAGATCAGTCACATACCCCGATCCTAATACAGAGATATAGGTTTTAAAATTGGGTACATGATCATCTGTTTATTAGGATTGTCTTACCACTCCTAACACATATCAGAACACCTACCCCTCCACCTGTCATCTAAATAATCTCATGTTCTCGGCCGTATCTGCATTAATGAAATATAAATTCGATATGTGTTGTTCAAGGTTCTGATAAGATAAAATTTCACACTCACAGAGAAGTCTGCGTCCTCTGCTCTCAGGTGGTCGGCTATGTACTGGACTCCCTCAATGGCCAGCTTGAGCGATGGGGACATTAGGAGGACATGCTGCTCTTTGGCACTGACTGTTTTGGCAACTTGCCCAGCACTGCTTGGTTTCTCCTGGCTCTTGGGCTTGCATTTGCACTGTGAACTTTGGCTCCCTGATTGCTCTTCATGCATTTGACATTTTTGGGACAGCGGGGAGCTGCTGGACTGACCGTTGGCCTGAGAGGAATCCTCATGCAGGTAGCAGTACTGGATGCTCCTGGAGCGGCAGCGGATTGTCCCCTCATTCACTTCCTTGGGGGTGTACATTTGCTGGACACTTACAGAGCGCATCTTGGGCATTAGGTTGGAGTGGGCTTCTGCCAACAGATGGGTCTGGGCTTGTGGAGAAGGACAGCTGGTCAGTGTGGATTCCTCACACAGCATAGAGTACTGTCCCGATGGAGACTTGCAGACCACTTGAGAGTTGACTGTTTGCTCAAGCTGGTGACAGTACGATGATGTGGGCGATCCCCGCTGGCTGGTTGGGCTAGGAGATGATGAACTTTGGAATGTGGGTTCAACCTCTGTCTCAGACCACATCCTTGGTGTTGGGCTGAGCCTTCTGGCATGTAAGGACTCAATTAGCTTTTTGCAGTTGTCTTTCACTGGCCTTTTCATGAAAAGTACTCTAGGCACAACGTCCAAGAATATCCGGCGCACCCAAGCAGGCATGGTGTGGGTGCGTGGGGAGCGATGATGAACATTTAGCACAAACACAGTAATGATGATGGAGAGCGTGACAAAGATCATGGTGAAGAGAAGGTACTCGCCAATCAGTGGAATGACCAAGGACGTGGATGGAATAATCTCCGTGATGAGCAGCAGGAAGACAGTCAAGGAAAGCAGCACAGAGATACAGAGTGTGATCTTCTCTCCACATTCCGAGGGCAGATAGAAGACCAGCACAGTTAAACATGATATTAGAAGACAGGGGATGATGAGGTTTATTGTGTAAAATAGTGGCAGCCTTCTGATGATGAAGGAATATGTGATGTCGGAGTAGATTTCAGTGCAACATTCATACTTCTTGATATTGTAATTGCCTACTGCGTTGACAATGACCCACTCGCCACTTTCCCAGTAGTCTAACTGGTCAACATGACTGTGCATACTGATCAGGTCAATCTTTGCTCGGTCATAAGTCCAGGATCCAAATTTCATGGTGCAGTTCTGTTGATCGAAGGGGAAGAAGGTGACATCAATGCTGCAGGAGCTCTTGTAAATGGCAGGCGGCATCCATTTTATCCTTCCGTCATGAAATAGGTGTGCTTTTGTCAGGTGGGTAACGGCAAAATCCCCATCAGCACTATGGAAAGAAAAAAAATTATATGAAATAGAACATCTTAAAGAAAAATTAGTAGATTCTGGGTGAGTAGAGAAATTCTGGGCGTTAGATGGACCTCTTGCAAGAGTCTATATTGTGAATGCCCTACAAACTGTAACCATCGATTATATATCCAATAATTCCTTCTGAAAAGAATGTCTCTGAATTTAAGTGTCCATAAATGGGGTCTCTGGGTTATATTAACTAAACCGTATTGAATTCACAGGTTTTTCTAGTCCACGTTTTCTGTTTTATCACATTTTACATGATATAATTTCTCTCATGTTCTGAATATCCAATACTTTTATTCATTAAGCAATTTAACCGCACAGTTAGTTGGATAACGTCCCACAATGACGGCCAGAGTGTACGTGGCGGACAGTCATGTTTGAACACGGATTCAAAGTACGGATTATGCTAATTTCTCTGATAGCTAATGAAGGAAGATAATTTTTGGCCGAATATGACCATTCATTATATGCCTTTCAAGACTGACAGGAACTGGAAGCGTTGAATTAATTGCGGTGGGGTTGTGAGGAAACAAGATTTGCAATTCCCCACGGGTTTGTCAAACACACAGCTCTGCGTTCCAGCACGTTCGCATTAAGCCGATCTCAATCCTTCGCTGTTGACTTATTAAATCTTTGACCGGCTTTCCGATTTAAGTGATTCAACAGGAGCCTTTCCTAACCTGGCTGTTATTGGGGGGATATAGCGAATGTCTGCACAAACCAGGGCATTATCAGAATTCTGCACATCATTTATCACAACCGAATTATTACAGATAAAAGCTCTGCTATATAATACGTCTCCAAAATAAATGACAAATTACACTTAAAAATGTTTCCTTTAGTAAATGTCGTGTTGGGGTTTATTGGTTGAAACTCAGAAGGGAATTGCAAATTATAGGTAAAAAGTTACGCTGAAAAATTGGTCAAATCTACTATTTTTGGATTGATTTTGGCCTACAATTTGAGATACTCTTGTTAAAGGGTCCCTCCAGTGGCCGACATTATGGTTTAGCATTTTAGGGTAATCCCTAGTGGTTTACTGGAATGATGTGTGACTGCGTGACACAAATCTCCCTTATATGTGAATGATAGAAAGCGTTATGGGACGCTCTCGGTCATTAGTTCCTGGTGGGAAAACTGGTCTTGCTACCAGTATGACGAAGGCCTTGTGTTGGGTGGAACGAATAACCATTTGGCCTAACATTTCACATGGACAAAGGGGGACACTTTAATTTTAGGGGTGTGGCTGGGGGGCAGGACTGTGCTGAGTGTGAGTGTGGCCATAGGCGGGGCTATTCTGAGTGTGAGTGGAGGTGTGATCAGGGGCAGTGCTGTTCTGAGAAATTATAGGTGACTTACTAACTTTAATTGATACAGCTAAAATTTAATTTATAACAAGAACAATGTATCTTATTTACACAGACTGATTTTCAAACTCGTTTATTGTAGTTTAAAGACACATTACTGTTATACACTCCGACACATTACTGGGAGTATTATTGCTGTGGAGCTCTGTTATACACTCAGACACACCAACAATATGGAACTCCTAGAAAAGAGGGACATAGGGATTTGATTCCAAAACAGGGACTGTCCCTCCTAAATAATGACACTTGGTATGCATTGCTGAATTCCTGTTGTAGATGCAGGTTTCACAGGGAATGTTTTAATCTGCATTACAAACACCGTAATTATTCTGTGGATTATCCCACTATTTACCATTCCCGTGTCAATTTTTCTTGTTTTGTGAATAAAGCCTACCTATCCTTAAACATACCAGCAATCACAGAGTTAAACTATGGACGATTGGATGCACAAACAATATTTCCCCCCATGTTTTAAACATTGCTCTTTCCAAATTACCTGCTAGAGTGTAAGCTCTGCTGGCCAGGTCTATCCAGTTGTGATTCTATTTCTTTCTAGGTCAGATTCTTGATATTTTTCTCAAGCCGTACCTTCTCATTTTGTGCTTGTTATATAAAATATTAATAATGTTATTTATATCGTTCGCCCGCTCTCTTCCTTCCGTCAGCCTTGTCTTTACAATAACAATGTCTCTGCTCCTGCGTTAGACAGTTTGGCATCAGCGCCCACAGCTGGGAACAGGATGAAATGCTGACAGCGGCTCAGCTCCCCATCCTGTCACCGTATCTCTCGCCTTCTCTGCTAATGAATGAGCACGCCAGTGACCCAGCCACCATAACCATTCTTCACATCGTGGCTAACTCCCATCAAGCTCAACCCGACTAGAGAACTTCATCCATTACACAGCACATACTAATAACTCCCATCATGCACCAACATTCCTCTTATGCTCCATTGGACATAGACTTCAACTCACGTCACACCAAACTTGTCCCCCAGTATGACTCCACCCAAAGTCATAACCCCTAGGCCTTTCCTGAAATCCCCATGATTTTCCCCGATGAATTTATTTTGATGAAAAAGGAAAAAAAAATTCAAACCAGCCTTAAATATAACAAAAAGGAATGGAAAAAGACATGACAGGAGCAGTACTGCTTTCATATGCAGGATTTATATTTTTGTAACTCTATTTCAATAAATAAAACTGAGCCTACAACACAGCCGAACAAGCGCAGAAATATCTTTAAAGAAATACATTTTATATATATATATAACTATGAATAATAGCTGGTTCTGATCTGAGAATATTTTTTAAATCCATCATATTAAGGTTTGTCCTGGCATAACCTGGCATTTGATGCAAATCCCAATCGTACCATGAATCCCAGGATGCTGCATAGCAAATCCTGGCAAGGTCATAGCCACGTGCAGCTCAGTCCCTTCCATTTCCTGTCACTCCACTAAAGGTTAACATGCAGTTTGTTTTGCTGAGCCTGGCTAGGCTGTAAAACGCGCCGGTTCCTTCCCAGTGTGTGGTAACTGGAAGTGATAGCTGCAACATGGCAGATACAAAGCCCAAATCTCTGCCGAATTAGGGCTTAGTAGGCAGACATTAGGGGGAAAGGACCATGTGATCCAAGTGGGTACCAAGCCCTGGCGTGACCGCTTTGCAGGTCAATTGATACCATCTTTGCCTAATTGGGTAACACGGGCACAGATTGCAATAAATGTTCTCCCTGAATTTTGTACCTGCACTTTAGACGTGAGCTTCTTAGCTGGTGCTTCGATGCAGCTCTCCAATTATGTTTTAAGTTTTATCATACTGCGACATAATATCTCTAATTGCCTGCCTCTTATATCAAAGTCTAATTATGCAATGTAAGTGTTCTTCTGGATATAAAACCCATCCTTCCCAGCTAAGCAATTCCCGAACAACAAATATTAATAAAGAGGGATGTTTGTACATTAGCAAAAAATACCACCCTGTGCCAGCAACCGCCAACACAATATGGAGGCTGTAACCAACGGGGCGCCTGTGCTGGGGCTTAGTAAATACCTCGCCTGGACCCGGGTATGATTTCCATTAGTATCAATTTGGGCTCTAACTCTTGTGCGCTATTATTGCCCAGCATTGTAGAGTTAATTTAATCCTGAGCGCACTCCCCCCCCTCCCTCCTCTATCTCCCTCCTGAACGCTGCACTTATACGTTAATCACAAATTAAGAGGTGAGCAAGAGATGATTAGGATGACGTTCTGTTCAAAGAAAGAAACTTTTATCTCTCAGTAAAATGTCTGCAGCCCATCAGCCTAGATCTTTAAAAGACCTTTTGATAATCAGACAAGTCTTTTATGGTAAAAGCTAATCCACAGAGGAGCCTCCTCTCGCGTGTCCCCTGTGTGTTCTTATAATGTGAAACCCCAGCATTTAGATCCAGCACAAAGTACCCCCCCCCCCCACCACATTAATTACAGCAATCAAATGAAAAATATATAAAGCCTGATGCAAATATTCACAGTTTCACATCAAATACTTTCATGCTTACAAGTATAATGGATTGGGGGTAGTTATTGAGACCTCTTTCAGTGCCCTCTCGGTTATGCACGCGATTACTGGTGGTGGTTTTGGTGGGGAGAATTTATCCTGGTAATGGGTCTCTGTGAGCAAAACGACCCCATCGGAACACAGCTGGGGGTCTGCACTCACATAGAACATGATGCCCACCAGAAATAGAAACTGGGGTGCCATCTGTACCACAAACGTCTAGTTACTGTCCACAAATATTGCTGCACAAGGTGCAAAAGTGACCAGTTGCTAGCTCTTTTTTTTAGCAGTGCGATTCTACCCCATTCCGTGTGTGCAGTGAAAATCCATAATACGGTCTATAACAACTGAAGTGCACAAGGCTCACACTCGCATTAAATAAAATGGTGAAGTACCACGTATTGGGGCATATTCACTTAACACTCAATGGCAAAATTTAGACTAAAACATACACGCTGCGAGTTCGAGACTTTTCTCAATTCAGCTATTCTGGGGAACACATTGCAGTTTGGTATTCAATTCATCGCCATTCGGTATTTAGTAAATTAGCCTCTTTGCTGAAGCTGTATTTATTTGACGTGCCATAAGTTCTCAAGTTCTCCCGGGTTTGTTTAATTCCCCTCGATCTGGCCGAGTCTCTGGTCACTTTAAGGCCTGGTTTGGGAATATGGTGAAAGGGGCGATAAAACTTACTTTTTTTAAATTTCATAATAAAATAGTGACAGATGAAATATCGGTTTAGGAATGTAGAGAAATTAGCTTCTCTGCAGGGTGAGAGCCAGTGCTGGCTCAATGGGGCATTATGGGAGAAATTTCATTTTAGATTGCTTTGATTTGCAAAGGTAAGTAGACCTTATCACGTGTACATTTCACAAAAAAAGGGGTTAAAATGCTTGGTATGCACATGTTAATGTCCCAGATAAAACGGGCAGATTTACCTGCTGGTACAATCATTTTTTAAATTAATTTGTCCGGTTAGTGAGAATATTCTACCGGAGTGTCCTGTGTAATCAGGGACTGGATAACTAAACGATAGGTTCACAGAGAGGTCCCTGTAGGCTGTATCGGGTGATCCACATAGGATACAAGGGCCACATTCACCCTACATTTCTACCAAATCATTGCATCAAGTCCTTGTACTTTAAGGCAAGATATTAAGGAATTCAGAACTTCATCTGGAAGCCGTGCCCTGCGTATTATCATTAGACACTTTTTAAATCTAAATTTAAAAACAAAATGTGATTTTAAAAAGTTCCCTGACTCAAGTCAAAGCTTTTATGTAGACGAGTTTTCCAATTTGGATTTCATTTGAATACAATTCAGGTTTAGTGAAAAGTCTTGGTATTGTCTATCAGTAATTTGCTGATAAGGGGTAACCTGTTGACATCAGCTGAGGCAGATTGCGGCTACAGATAACAGACTGGATAACAGGTGAGTAAAGGGTTAATTTAATTTAATAGGTTTTTTTTCTGTTTTGGGTTTTAACTAAAAAGAGGGTCACATGAATCTAAAAGCCCCCTCTAACTATTTGGGGCAAATTTGTATGTTATGGACACTGTGTAGCTTTCCTTTAAGAGGACACCACAGACCCCTTTTCAAGTGCTTTAAGGGTTAACAAGAGTTAGCTCTTGCCCCATTCCATGACAGTGTTAATTTCCAGAAAAATTGTGACTTTTATGAGCAATTAGGACTTTTGCCCAGATTCCCCAGGATATTCGCTAAACTCCAAATTGCAGCAAATTAAAATCCAATCAGTAAAGCATAGCCGGAAGTAGCCAAACAGACACTTTTTTTCTAGATGAAATATTTTGCCTAAGTTTTTCCAATTCATATTTCAGTATCAGCACAGTTCAGAGCTGGATAAAAAGCTAACAATTGGTTTTTTTCTGATTTTTAATGTTAGAGTTCACAAACAAAGCTCTAATGGCATAATGTCATTGTTTAATCTCGGTAAATGGAAAATGTATTCCCATGTTAAAGGATGACCGTGGCTACTGACCCCCTGCCGCATCTGTTAGCCCACCGCGGCTCTAGACAAACTTAATTTTTTTTGGAAAAATATGTTTTGGTGGCTTTTATCAGTGGAGTTTATTTGTGGGTGTTCTAAACCTCAGGATCCCAGTCTGATTGTATCCTCCCATTTTCAGCAGAAGTGACACATTACTAGGTCCTTTTCATTTGGCATAATTCTAAAAATAAAGGGGTGTCTCCTAGAACCGGGAACAGCGCCATTATCTTACTTGTTATACAGAACAATATCCGGCCTCCAGATCAGCTCAGACGGGATTCGGATCGATGTCACGTTCTCGTATTCCAACGGATCCCAGCGCAGTTTATAATCATTCCATTCCTTTGACAGAGAGCGAGATAAAATGAATGGGGCGAGAAGAAGGGGGTGTAAAAGCAGAGTTGAGTCTACAGAATTCCTCCTATTGCACCATACAATTCCTTTCTCACCCTTTTACCCCTTAAACTCCCCTTTTATCTAAGACTACCGCCATTGCTCCACTCTATCCCTCCCGGTAAATAATTGCTCTAAATTTATCACATTCTAAAACACCTCTCATTGTGCTACATAATCCTCCCAATAACTCCTCACATTGTGCCATATAACCCAGATATAGAGAGATCATTTAGGAGACCTACCTGTTTCACCCAAACATTGGTCGTCATCATCTGGTTTTTCTCATCCTATAGTAAAAGCAGATCAATAAGTGAATACAATGCTTTAATCCCTATTATTATATCAGTGTTAACAAGTCAATAACGTCAGCAAACGTTCAGCTACAATAGTGAAAGTACAAACCGTCAAAACGTAGGCACAAATAGCGTATAGCGAAGTTGGAGAATTTTTATTCCAAATCACCTATGCCTTTCGGTTTTAAAGGCTTTGAGACAACTGTCTTATTTAAAAGCTTTAGCTTTGAATGAGACCGTAACCTCACTCTGCAGGCTGAAAAAAGAGCAGGTAAATATGACTTTTTTATATTTACCTTTTTCCTTCTTATGCTTTCCACAATCACTCCAGGGGGACACTGATCTAGCCAATCAGTGTCCTATCCCTTGGGATCCTGGAAAAGTGGACAGGACATGCCTGAAAGATTCACACAAGTAGAGCTGGAAGATCTCATCACCTTGCAACATGCTGGGGGGAAAAAGAGTGGAAGTCTCTTCAGTGTGACCATGCAGAGAAGGCTTCGGTGTTGGGTTACTCTCTCCTGCTGCTGCACAGTGATGCCCTAATTCTGTTATTAATGGACTGGTCTGAAAGTGATATGGGTGGGAAGGAGGGATGTGCTGAAGAAACTCCCCTAGTTAAGAGGAGTGCCCAACAATGCAATCTGACAAAGTTTAGAGTAAGTTTATAATAATTTATTACATACTTTTAAAGGTTTTCTTGCTTTATTTTGGTTGATTTGTTTAGGAGTGCTTGCTAGTTTAAAATAATTGTCAAGTGATGCATGTCCCTTGCCTGCTAGAACGCTGAGTTTAGTGAAGAGCCGTGTGTGTGTATATGGATTATACATAAATGGATTAAATGCCAGGCGCTATATCCATTATGAGGGTTTGCTTAATCATTATTCATAGAGGCGAAGGATTTGTAACTTTTAGAACAAAGTAATGGAGTTGGAGGTGGGACATTTGCCGGCTAGGCTGACCTGGCCTGACATTTGCAATTTCTCTGTCGATTTTCCCATTCCTGGATTAGTTAGTAAACCCCTATCTAAGACAGTTGCAGACTCATTGTAGCCTCTAAATTAATGACGAGATTGGATCGCCTGCACAGCACAGCGACATACAGGAAGATTGTGCTTCAGAATATCTTAGGATATGGAGCTGTCAATCAGCCGTAGGAACCACAGTCCCGTTCACCCTCCGCACCCTCTTGTTCCATAGACGAGTGGCGCAGTAAGTGGATGTCCAGTCGGGAGGATTTGCTACAGAGAATAATGCTGAGACTATTTGATTTGTGCCAACAAAGCCCAGAAATAATTCATTATCCAGATGAGAAATTTAATGGAAAACACATATTGTGCCAGGGGCAGACATAATGCCCTTAGTGACGCATCACAATCCTTAGAAAATGCCAAGTGGGTTTTATGGATATCTATTTATTTTTGTTTCCAAACCAACTGAGACGTCAGCACTCAAATCCCAGCCATAGCCAGGCCAATACTAAACCAGAGATCACACACAATCCTCAACTTTCTCAGCAGCAGGCTAAACGCTAAACTACAGCAAATCAAAAGCATTAGTTGGAATTTGCTAAACTGTGAACTGACAAACTGTATAAGAGGAGCTGTCCCTTTAAATTAATGGCACAATCAAATGGCCAACTAAAATGTAACGATAGGTTGAGCTATTTTCCTTTACATTGTGTGACAGAGATATTTGTATCCCCAAAACATACGGTTTCCCACTAGTAATCCCCAAACATGATATATCCCTGGAAAGATCTGGTTCTCGGGTGCAATCTGTCCAAAATGCACCTGGATCGGAGGTGCCCAGCCCAAGCAATAACCGTTTGAAGTTTGACTGCGGCCATGTGTTGAACCAGTGGAGAGTCCCATGCTGAGCTTGGAAGGTCCTGGTCTCAAATAAATTGTTCCCGAGCCTTATAGAAGGGAGCTCCCACAAGTCCTTGGTATCTCTCGATGCCTCATCACGTCACTGAGCTCCCCTCCACATAGCGCCCTGTTTGGTGATCTGTAGACCAAGGGATACCTAATCAAAGATTCACCGGATCCCGGCACAGTCTCGATCCGGTGAACAGTGCCAGAGTCATTCAGGTTATCTCCTGTCAGAAACTCAAAATGTAGGATGGGTCCAGACCATCCCTAGATGTCCCAACTCCAGCTGGGAAATCAAATAAGCATCCAGGGAAGCAAGCAGAGGTGATTTTGATAAAAGCTTGTGAATAATTAACCCCCGGCAGTGTCATACACAAAGAGCGTACGTGCAGCATTTCAGGAGAATCTCTGTAAAAGCCAGGTTATGAATAAACACGCTCGAGGCATCATGGAATGAGTCCGTGATCATGACATTTCCCTTTAGCTCACAGTACTGGAGATGGGTAAAAAAAAAGCAAGTCTCCGACTCCTCTACTTGGGGTAAATTTGATTGTGCTTTATCACATGTTAATATAAATATAATTTCCATTGCTCCTGTTGTCTAGTTGAACGATATAGAAATTAGAAGTTACAAAGCGACGTCCTGTAAACTCCAGCGTCATGCTGGGAGCGTGAGAGCAGGTGGACTCGTCATCCAGTGGCAGAGATAAACGATTGTTCCCATCTCGTTATAACTGCTGCATCATGTAATGGGCCAATTATATGGCTGGAAGCTCCCAGTACCTCGCACCTGCTTCACCGATAGCTGCGACATTTTCTGCCCCCATTTATATGCCAACAGATTACTTGCTTTACTCCAGAATTCATGTATTTATCTCCTGACACAATTCACCCAGTGTTTGCTTGTCATGTTTACAAGCAAGCAGCGTAAATAACGCAACAAACAGCGGGAAGACCTGGGTTCTGTAAATAACGCCACAAACAGCGGGAAGACCTGGGTTCTGTAAATAACGCCAAAAACAGCGGGAAGACCTGGGATCTGTAAATAACGCCAAATACAGCGGGAAGACCTGGGTTCTGTAAATAACGCCAAAAACAGCGGGAAACCCTGGGTTCTGTAAAGAACGCCAAAACCAGCGGGAAGACCTGGGTTCTGTAAATAACGTCACAAACAGCAGGAAGACCTGGGTTCTGTAAATAACGTCACAAACAGCAGGAAGTCCTGGGTTCTGTAAATAACGTCACAAACAGCAGGAAGTCCTGGGTTCTGTAAATAACGTCACAAACAGCGGGAAGTCCTGGGTTCTGTAAATAACGTCACAAACAGCAGGAAAACCTGGGTTCTGTAAATAACGTCACAAACAGCAGGAAAACCCGGGTTCTGTATCCAGACATTTGTTTTATTACTAACAGGGTTAATCATTAACCTGGGAACTTCCAGGAATGCAATTTAATATTTTAAACTTTTTGGCTAAAATAACTGAATTGAAAAAAATTCTCCCAATCAGCTGGGTTTACCATTCGGCTACTTTGGGCTTTGAATTTGAAATTACCTCCCCACAATTCACACTTTAGTGAATAATCATGATTAAACCACTGTAAATAGGCCAACATGTTCTGCCTTCTCACATGAATTCCCACAATACACCTCTGTCCCAAAACTATGATCGAACAAAAGGATGTCTGGTTACCCTTGAACAAAGGGAGAGACGTATGAACGTGTTGTAGAATAATCGGCTCCTTTTCTGAGAAGTTTTCCTGGCGCGAATGATCAATTCCCACATTCTGCTGCACTATATGTTTTGTCTTTTTTGTCATTTTTTTCTTTCTTGTAACTGCTTTCTGCAAAGGCCAGACCCGGAATACAAAGCAGCCTTGAATAAAAATGTATGCAAGCCCTGTAAGCACGTACTAAGCATATATATAAACTTATTATTGCTGTGTTCCTTTTTTACTTTAAAATATTGGTCCTATTAGGTTAAAAAATAAAATTATACAGAATGCAGGCACGCACAGACAGCCTCACTGACACACAGAAATATTGGTCTTTTCACTTGCAAATAAACAAACTTAGTACAAACTCATTGGTATACACACAGAATCTTACTACAGACAAGCTCACTGACACACACGGAATTTCACTACAGACAAGCTCACTGACCCACATGGAATCTCACTACAGACAAGCTCACTGACACACACAGAATCTCACTACAGACAAGCTCACTGACACACACAGAATCTCACTACAAACATGCTCATTGACACACAAGAACACTACAGACAAGCTCACTGTTAGTCATGAGCTGTTGGGTATTTGAAGGTTGCTAGTACCTGGTAGTGAAGGCAGTGGGAGCACGGAGGGGGGGAAAGGGGGGTAAATCTGCCATTTTATGGCCTCTTCCTGCCGAGATGTGGTGGTGGTGGGCTGAAGTGTGTGGGGGGGGGAGGCTGGAGTGCAGCTGGATGTGGGGGGGGAGATATGGAGCACGGAGGTGGATCTGGAGTGCAGGGGAGGTTAGAGTTGAAGTGCAGGACATTGGAGAGCTGCAGGATGTTAGAGTTTTAGTGCGGGATATGAGAGAGCTGCTTGAGTGCAGGGGGAGATGGAGTGTGGGGAAGGGAGAACTGGAGTGCAGTGGGAGCTGGAGTCTGGGGGGGAGAGCAGCTGGAGTGCAGTAGGAGATGGATTGTAGGGGGAGAGCAGCTGGAGTGCAGTAGGATATGGATTGTAGGGGGAGAGCAGCTGGAGTGCAGGAAGGACAGAAGACACTCAGAAAAGCTGCTGGGATTGTGATTGGAGAGTGGCAGTGCTCCTCGCCTCGCAGACTGCCTGCAGCTCCACCCGGCTGTCCGAGAGACACATTTACATGGCGGCATTATACCTGCTCAGCCCCTGGATCCCGATACTCTTTGTTGCTGACCAACCACAGTATGTACTGCTTTCTGTTTATGGAGCAGTTCCAATCATCCTACTATGTGATGAGTGAAACTGATTCTTGTTAGAAACTACTCTTACTCGGTCGTTGCGGGATGATCTAGGGGTCTGGGATTCCTTCTTGGCCTCCTATAACAGTAGAACGTACTGGCAGGCCCTGGAGGTCTCTAACGCCGACCTCCACCTGTTTACCGATGCAGCAGGCTCGGGAGGTTTTGGAGCCGTTTTGGGCTCTCAAAGGTGCGTTGCCTTGTGGCTGGTGGGTTAGCACTAGTTGGTAAAGCGGCACATTTTATTAATCTCACGCATCCGGCCCTGGTAACCCAGACAGCAGGTGAGGGCAACTACCATGTACACACTCAGGGATCGCAACCTAGACCTCGACAGCCGAGACAACTCACTAGTCCACAGGGTAGTAGGTTCCACAACCCCTCATCCCATGGGTCCAAAACCAACAGTCGCACTGATCAGGAGCATCGGGTGCTATCATCACCCTGTAACATTTAACTGACACGCATGTCACTACTGGCCTTACCTCCTGACTAGACACCAAATTTAACCCACACAAATAGTTTGTTCGCCTTAAAAAAAAATAATACAATAGTGCTTTGTATTTTCTGATATATTGTCTTAAATGCTTAATGGCATGTAAATCCTGTTAACAGCTCGTAAAAGCTGCAGACCAGTTCTCTGCAGCCCTTGTAAGCCTTCCCCAGGCATTCAGCAAATGGCGTACGGTCAGTGAGAATATGATAAAATATCGCTTTAAAATCAAACATTCTATTACCATGTAAAGTAATTATTATTTTGACGTAATTCTAAACTGAATTATAAAATCCAAGCCAAAATAACCAGAGGAAAAAAAAATTAGTATTTTCCCAACTCTGCTAATATTTTGTAAATTTTTCGATTTGCTGTCTGGCAAATAACCCTCGGGCACGTGTCTTGCTGCACAGCTGCTTAACATGCGCAGCATGCCGAAAAGCCCTCAATAAAACCATACCTTGACGGAATATACAATGTACAGCCAGAGAAAGAAATGAATTAATAAACTTGCTCCTGCGATTCCTTGCAGTGTGTGTACGCATTTCTGCATAGATTTCCATAGCGTTACGTCCTATTGAATTACCAGTGGACAAGGCAATGCACGAGGACGCACAAACCTACAGCAACAATCCGGGAGAGCCGAATGCAGACTAAATATTTATTAGAGCTGTGCCTCAGACTCTGTTACAGGAGATATTCTGGATTTAACCCCTTATGAACGCTTTATTACGACGAATCGCCCGCCAGGAAAGGGTTAAAAGTGTAAACTTCATAAAGTTAGATTAATGAACGTTTGTGTAAAGCAGACAGTTAATTATATCACTTAAGTGGTTATGGTGCTTGGAGTTCCTAATCCATTTGCAATATTGCCGAAGCCCCCATGTGAATTAGGGGGCAGCATTTAATCTTTTTTTTTTTTTAATTCTTTATTTTTTCAGTGCATAAGAGTGGCCCCAAAAGCAATCCTCAGGCAATTCCTCGCTTAACATGCGGGGCATAGAAGTAACAGGCACAGTTTTATATTTTAGACAGGCTTGGTTAAGTAGCTTTACACCAATTATATTAGTAGAGGTAACATGTTAGTAATGTGTGGATCACATAAAGAAAATATGTACACATAGTTATGCAGATGAGTAATCACATCGGTAGGGAGACATATTTGTGTTTGAAAAATCAGAGTAACATGCTAGGCTATCGTTGATACTTCAGCAGGGCAGCCGTTAGAGTATGCTGGACTAATCAAAACAGTGTCTTGTAAGTGAACGTAAGTGATTGTAGTTGCATGCACCGGTAGGTATTAACTATCCTCTGCTACAAAGCAAATATAACTTTGTTGGTGATAACTATTCTATGGGGACGTAAGGGGAGAAAGGGGACAGTAAGACAGAAGACAATTGAACCCCTAATGTATATTCAGGGACAGTAGGCATAATATCAGTATGACAGCTTGTTGCAAGTGTCCCCATTCACCCCATACCAGAGGTCGGCAGGCTTTCAGCATAGGTCTGGGAGCATTCAGAGGCATTCCGTGCAATAGCCGTCTCCTGTCTTGCGGCTGTGCGAGCAGCCGCTTGAGCTGGCCTCCCGGCTTGTCTGCGTGCATGTCCCTGGTCTTGTTGAGCGGGCTGCGGTATGTAGTCTCGTGGGTGTGCTCGGTATTGCGAGCCGCGTAGACCCGTCCACCTTCGGGTGCCAATACGCCGGGCTTGTTGGGGTCTGACCCCCTGCTTTTCCTCCTTGCGGGGGTGTTGCTGAGACCTCTATGCTTGCCGGGGCTCCGATGGGCAGTAGTGGGTGCATGCCCCTCGGGTGTGATGGCTTGTTGCTGGTGTGTAGCTTGTATACTTGTCCCAGTCGTGGGCTGCTCATGGTGTACGGCCCTGGCTGGTTAGCATTTAATCATTTTAATAGTAAATTTGGGGAAATGCACACAGCGATCGCCTTCTTATGAATTACAGACGTGAAGATTAGGCATTTTTAAGAATTCCTGAAATAAAAAATATACACGGCGAGTTGGTCTTCACGGCTTAACGTGAAAAGGTTAAATCGGTTCCTTCGCATATTAGAAATCAGGCAGAGGGTCCAGTCGGGCCAGGCTGTGGGAGAAAGTAGGATTGTCTGGAATTTTAAATCGTAGCTGAAGACGGACAAACTGGAACATTTCTTCTGATCAAATATTTTTTGGTTTGGATGTTATTCCCTAAAATGTAAAAACTGATGTTTAATTCCTATCAAAGTAACACTTTTGTGATTTTTTTTGTGTGAAGTTAGCAAACTCTGATCTCTGTTACACTGAATGTTCCGTGATGGAAAATGAACACACACTGCCAGTTATAATAGTGCAGGGTACACACACTGCCAGTTATAATAGTACGGGAAACGCACACTGCCATTTATAATAGTGTGGTCTACACACACTGCCAGGTATAATAGTGCGGGGTATGCAGACTGCCAGTTACAATAGTGCGGGGTACACACACTGCCAGTTATAACAGTGCGGGGTACACACTGCCAGTTATAACAGTACTGGGTACACACACTGCCAGATATAATAGTGCAGTGTACACACACTGCCAGCTATAATAGTGCAGGATACACACACTGCCAGTTATAATAGTGCGGGGTACACACACTGCCAGTTATAATAGTATGGGAAAAGCACTCTGCCAGGTATAATAGTACGGGGTAAGCAACCCTGCCAGTTATAACAGCGTGGTCTACACACACTGCCAGGTATAAAAGTACGGGGTACGCACACTGCCAGTTATAATAGTGCAGGGTACGCACACTTCCACATATAGAAATGCCGGGTACACACACTGCCAGTTATTATAATGCGGGTTACGCACACTCCCACATATAGAAATGCAGGGTACACACACTGCCAGTTATTATATTGCGGGGTACACACATTCCCACACTAGCTAGCGGGGTACACTAGCTCCCAGATATAGCAATGCGGGGTACAAGATCTCTCAGATATAGCAATGCGAGGTACATTATCTCCCAGATATAGCAATGCGAGGTACATGATCTCCCAGATATAGCAATGCGGGGTACATTATCTCCCAGATATAGCAATGCGAGGTACATTATCTCCCAGATATAGCAATGCGAGGTACATGATCTCCCAGATATAGCAATGCGGGGTACATTATCTCCCAGATATAGCAATGCGGGGTACATTATCTCCCAGATATAGCAATGCGAGGTACATGATCTCCCAGATATAGCAATGCGGGGTACATTATCTCCCAGATATAGCAATGCGGGGTACATTATCTCCCAGATATAGCAATGCGGGGTACAAGATCTCCCAGATATAGCAATGTGGGGTACATTATCTCCCAGATATAGCAATGTGGGGTACACTAGCTCCCAGATATAGCAATGTGGGGTACACTAGCTCCCAGATATAGCAATGCGGGGTACATTATCTCCCAGATATAGCAATGCGAGGTACATTATCTCCCAGATATAGCAATGCGAGGTACATGATCTCCCAGATATAGCAATGCGGGGTACATTATCTCCCAGATATAGCAATGCGAGGTACATTATCTCCCAGATATAGCAATGCGAGGTACATGATCTCCCAGATATAGCAATGCGGGGTACATTATCTCCCAGATATAGCAATGCGGGGTACATTATCTCCCAGATATAGCAATGCGAGGTACATGATCTCCCAGATATAGCAATGCGGGGTACATTATCTCCCAGATATAGCAATGTGGGGTACATTATCTCCCAGATATAGCAATGCGGGGTACAAGATCTCCCAGATATAGCAATGTGGGGTACATTATCTCCCAGATATAGCAATGCGGGGTACACTAGCTCCCAGATATAGCAATGTGGGGTACACTAGCTCCCAGATATAGCAATGTGGGGTACACTAGCTCCCAGATATAGCAATGTGGGGTACACTAGCTCCCAGATATAGCAATGTGGGGTACACTAGCTCCCAGATATAGCAATGTGGGGTATGCACGCTCCCAGATATAGCAATGTGGGGTACACTAGCTCCCAGATATAGCAATGTGGGGTACACTAGCTCCCAGATATAGCAATGTGGGGTACACTAGCTCCCAGATATAGCAATGCTAGAAATAGCAGATTTAGCAGTTCCAGTGCAGAATCTTGTAGCCAGTGTGTTATTTAAAAAATGCTGAAAGAGCTGTGATCTAATTAAGTAACAAATGTTTTAATTATTAGACATTCTTCCTAATTGTGTCTCTAGGGAGAATTTCTGCAAATCTGCTCGCAAGAGGGAAACTGTTGAGATTTTTTGGGTGGATGTTATAAAAAGATCCCGGGGCCGAGACAATACTGCTTAGAACAGCAGGTACCAACAGTACCCAATCTTGGGTAAAATTAGCCGGATAATGGTATAAACCTAAAGTCACACGGGTCTCCTTCCTAATTAATAGAAAATGGGATCATTCAAAACCCCTGAGAAAAAATACAGTATTGTAATATTTATTTAATCTCCACCAACATTTACTGGTAGAGATTAAATTTCTCCCATCCCCCCCCACAAAAGACAAACTTTTTTCTCTAAAGCATTTTTACCGTGATATTTTTTTGTACAAGAGTCAATAAAGAAAAAGAAAAAAAAAACAACAACTTGCGCACACACAAACAATAAATTATTACGAGGGTGTGCATACATGTAAAGTAAATTTGTGAATATGTGCATGAACTGTGTAGAGAAATTAACTCTTAACTTAACGCTTAGATATTGCTCACAGACATTGGCCTCGATTAATAAGCTTTTTAAATGATTATTACGGTTTCTAAAATTCCCCATAGATTTTAAGGGTGACTTGTGTAGATAAATCACTTGGAAACTTTTCTAACATTATTGAATCATTTGGAAAGCTTATTAAATTGAGGCCGTAGAAAGATCTTTTTCTTTTTTGCAATTTACATTTTTCTTTATTTTCCAAAAATTTTTCCAAAAGGAAAAATAAACAAAAGAACAAAAAACAAGGGGATACAGAAAGAAGAAAAGGGGTTGGGGTACAATCAGTAGTGTTACATTATTTCATCATATACTCATCGTACAACGTTATACTATATTCATACTACATTTAGATAAAGTTTATAATGCATACGTCCTGACCGCCTTTATTTTATTTTATTTTCCATGATAAATACTGGTGTGTCCACTATAAAATTCACCTCAGGGAAATTTAACCATTACAAAAATAAGAAAAAGAAAAGAGAAAAAAAAAAAGGGAAAAGAAAATAAAATAAGATAAAATAAAATAAAATTCTCTCTACTCCGGTCTTCATATGATTTGGGTTAAGCTAACAATAGAAGCTTATATTCAATTTAGCTGCTTAATATTGTCAAAATACATTAGGTTAAGTTAAATGATTAAATTAAATTAAATGTCTTGCTTATTGTATATGTCTTAAATTGTATTCAAGCCCAACCAGGATAAGTAAATAGACTCATTTTAACACCTCATGTACACCCAACATATGTAATATACCACATCTCCCTTATATTACAGAGGTTCAATCCTGAAGGGCTGGGCCATTTCGTTTATTTCTACTGTGTTGAATTCTAAGTTGTATTTCTGATAGTAACCATAAAGAAATAAGTTTAATTTATCATGTCCTATACTAAATATATATTCCACATATCTATTAAACTTATTTCGTTATTATCTTTGTATATATTCATAACTGTTTTGACATGCGTTTTTCTGGATTTATTTGTTTGTTATTCTGTCTCTCACTGTTAAAATACACCTACTATTAAAATATAGACTGATCATTTATTTGTCAGTGGGCAAATGTTCAAAATCAGCAGGAGATCAAATACCTTTTTCCCTCACTGTACATTGATCAGACAGAACATGAAAAACACCTGGCTAACAAATGTAAACCTATTTAGTTTAGAAAAACATCGCCCGAGAGGGGATATGATAACATTATACAAATATATTCGGGGCCAGTAACAAACCATTGTGTGGAAATCTATTCACAAACCGGACTTTACATAGGACACAAGGCCATGCGTTTAGACTGGAAGAAAGAAGATTTCGTCTAAGGCAAAGGAAAGGTTTTTTTATTGTAAGAACAATCAGGATGTGGAATTCTCTGCCTGAAGAAGTGGTTTTATCAGAGTCCATACAGATGTTCAAACGGCTACTAGATGCATACTTGCAAGAACAGAATATTTAAGGATATAATCTTTCAATGTAGGGTAATAACTGCTTGATCCAAGGATAAATCTGTCTGCCATTCTGGGGTCAAGAAGGAATTTTTTTCCTAGCTTGTTGCAAAATTGTGCTTCAAACTGGGTTTTTTTGCCTTCTTTTGGATCAACAGCAAAAAACAAATGTGAGGAAGGCTGAACTTGATGGACGCAAGTCTCTTTTCAGCGATGTAACTATGTAACCTGCCTAATATCATTAGGTCCCCCTCGTGCTGCCCCTCATGCTGCCAAAACAGCTCTGATGCTTCCAGATATGTACTCCACAAGACCTCTAAATATGTCCTGTGGTATCTGGCTCTAAGACATTTGTTGCAGATCCATTGCATTCTGCAAGCTGCAAAGTAAGGTCTCCATGGATCAGATTTGTT